TGCTTTTCTGCATTTTTCAGGAAAAAAGTTACTATTTTTTTCTATCACTTTTTATCATTTCATAAAAAAATAAAAAAAGAAAAATATATATTTTATGTGACCATGAATTCTTCTTCTTCTTCTTAGTATTATTAATTACCAACAGCAATACAGCAATGATATTATTATTAATATTTTTATTTAGTGTTAGAAATACTGTAACTGTAACTCTAAAATTTTATTACACGTGACGTAACAACAAAAAGCATATTTTGGATCAAATGTAGCCAGTAGTATCTATTATTATTATTATTGTTGTTGTTGTAGTCAATTTGTAGGAAATGACCATATTATCATGACTACTTGTATGTCATTTTAACTTTAAACGTTTACTAAAAACTATATTGTTTTGAACTCTGAGGGTTAAAGGCCCAAAAACATGACATATATATGTATTTTTTTACCTCAGCAAACACAAAAGGGGCATCAAACGGGTAGCAGATCTGGCCGTGTTTTACGGCAGCTACTGATGCAGGTCCACACCTGAACATACCTGACAGAAGACCAGCCTCAGTAACACCACAGAACAACAAAGATACTGTGTGTGTGTTCATGCGCTTGTCCTACCATCGCTCGTCTCCTGTGGCGTAGCATCCACAACCTGCCATCCTCCGAAACCAGAAGGCAGATCAGACCTAGCCATGAAGCACTCGTTCCAGCAATGATAATTCCTGCAGATGAAGATAGAGCAAGTCATCCTCTATGGAAGCTTGTTTCCACAACAGGATAAAAAAAAAGAAGATAATTGTGACTTTTATTTTGAAAAATAAAAATAAAAAATATATATAGATACACTGAACAAAATTATAAAGACAACACTTTTGTTTTTGCCCCCATTTTTCATGAGCTGAACTCAAAGATCTAAGACTTTTTCTATGTACACAAAAGGCCTATTTCTCTCAAATATTGTTCACAAATCTGTCTAAATCTGTGTTAGTGAGCACTTCTCCTTTGCCGAGATAATCCATCCACCTCACAGGTGTGGCATATCAAGATGCTGATTAGACAGCATGATTATTGCACAGGTGTGCCTTAGGCTGGCCACAATAAAAGGCCACTCTAAAATGTGCAGTTTTATGGGGGCAAAAACAAAAGTGTTGCGTTTATAATTTTGTTCAGTGTATATAAAGGCAGAATTGTGAGAAATAAAATCAGAATTGTGAGACATAATAATATAAACATATATAAACTTGCAATTGTGATATAAAGAGTCATAATCACCAAAATTCTTGTGGCAGAAAAAAAATTGAATTGTGAAATACAAACTCAGAATAGCCTTTATTTATTTATTTATTTATTTCCCATGGCAGAAACAAGCTTCCGTAATCTACTGCATAAAAAGCAGCACTTTTTTATATACTTTAAATTATTTGAGCAAGACCTCATGTTTCGGTTTCCATAAAAGATCACAAACCAGATGGAGTCCTTGGTGCGGTTCCGGTCCAGTTTTCCATTTTCGTCCAGGATGATGTCCATCTTAAGGTTGCCGTCATTGTCGTGAGCAGAGAAGAAGTTTGTCACGACCCTGCCGGGGATCCCGAGACAACGCAAGACTGTGGGGAAGGAGAAGTAGAATCATATGGACACTGATCACGTGACCTATTAATGAATATGAATGCCTTGTCCTGGTTCTCACAGGTGTTGAAGACAGCAGCGTAGACCCAGCACTGGGCGTAGCAGACGGGTGTTCCCCTGCTGCCAGCGTAGTCCAGAAGGATCTCCACGCTGCCGGTCCAGGACGTCGGCGGGACACCGTATGTGTAATCGCCACTCCAGTTCCCCACCAACACGCCGTCGTCATCGCGTGAGTTCAGCTGTTTAGAAACAGGGCAGAGGTGAAGTCAACAACAGGTTTATGAAAGCTGAAAAAGATATGTTGTTTCACCAATAGCACACATGCTATAACATCATGTGAAAATTTCAATAAGCTGTTTTTTAGTATTAAGCAAGCACTTCAACTTTGTGCACAAATAACATAATATTAAAAAATTATATTCAAAAATATATTGTATTTTTTAACCATAAAATTCTAAAGTACACACATATTGCAATAGACAAAGTTGGGGTGCAGTAAGATTGTTTAATATTTTTAAAAGAAACATTATAACAATTTAAAGTAACAGTTTTCTATTTGAATATATTTTAAAATATAATTTATTGCTGTGATGCAAAGCGGAATTTTCAGCATCGTTACTCCAGTCTTCAGTGTCACATGATCTTCAGAAATCATTCTAATATGCTGATTTGCTGCTCGAGAAACATTCTTTGATGAATGGAATCTTCAAAAGAACAGCATTTATTTGAAATAGAAATATTTTAAAGTAATAGTAACATTATAAAAAAGTCTTTACTCTCACTTTTGATCAATTCATCATAGCTGAATAAAGGTATTCATTGTCTGTCAAAATGTTTAGTTCACGTTTGGCACAGTGAAACACAGTTCCTCATAACAGGGTAAAAAATTAAAATAAAAATAGTTATCGCAGTTTGTCTTTGGTTTCTCACCATGGCTGAAGCGACGCGGGTCACTTTAATGACGTCCCCACGGTTGGACAGCGGCATATCTGCTTTATCCATAATGAACAGACAGGCATCCAGGACACCAAACTCAAACTAAAAAAACAAAAACAAAAAATACAGCAAATTGCAATTTTTTTTTATTTGTAAATATTTTATTATAGTTTTTTTAGCTCTAATTATTAGGGATGCGCTAATATCACTTAATTTTCTTTTTTAGTTTATCAGCATTTAGGTCAGTATTTTAACATTTTAAAAACTGTGCATGCTCATTTTTCCTTTTTTTTTGTTTTATTTAAATTACCATTGACCTTATTATTCTTTTATTTATTATGAATCATATTAATTAATCCACAAAATGTTTTTGAGTGAACGCTGCCAAAATTATCCACAAAAAATTATAATTTTTTTATTATTATTAAATGAGGTGCATAAGCTTAGTTTCATAAATAAATACAAAAACTGTTAACTGCAAAAAAACAAACAAAAAAAA